CCTTCTGATGTTATGACTGCCTTTTCGAACTACGGCCATTTTTTCGTTGCCCATTATTGTTTTTTTTGCCCTTTTGAACTTCGTTTGTGACACAAACGTACTTGCCCCAAAAAAAAAACACGGACCCCTCCCCCCCACAATTTCAAATTCGCGATTTGGGGAGGGGTATATTTTTTCTAAAACCCTTATGAAAACCTGGGCTACCAGACCCGCACGGGCCCGTCCGCCCGGCCGGGTCACCGGGCGAGGTAAAAAAACAGTCAATTTTTTTTTTTCTTTTCACTGATGTGGAGTATTTTTGTGCCTTCCAAGAGGGATCCAAATCCAGTCTTTTTTTTTTTTTGTTCATGCCAATTTTGGRGGGGGGGGGGAAGGTGAAGGGCCATAAAGGAGCTTGAAAGGGGTTGAAATGCCTTTAAAGGGTGTGAGATGATTTTCCTTAGATTATTTTATTTTCATTTCGAATTACGTGAAGAATTTCGAAGTGACCCTCCGCCAAAAGAATTTCATTGTTGTGCGCTACGTGTGGCGTGCTACCTTGCTATCTTGCATACTGTGCAATGATGAGTGTTTTCGCCTTATCTCAACATAGACCCCTGGACGCACGTGTGAACCTTCCTGGAGTCATTGACTGGGAGTGAGTGAGCATGATATTGTGACAATTTGTTACTTGATACTTTGATACTTTGCGGCTGCATGACCACTTCTACGCTCACCAAGACTTCGGAGTTTGACGAGTGTGGAGACGTCGGTGGTGTTGACTTTCAGCTTTCTGACTTCAAAGGGATGGCGGGTGATCAATACCGTGAAGGCCGCAATGAGGGGAGGCGCCCTCGTACACCGGAGCGTGGGCGACGTGATAACCGCGACAGCAGCCGCGAGCGGCAGGGTGGTTAACGGGGCAGCAGTCGCGAAGATCGGAGAGACGAACCTCAGCGACGAGGACCACCTAAGTGCTTCGGATGTAGGGTGGTCGGTCATTACCGTATGGACTGCTGGCGGCACTGGACAGATCCAGTCACTTGACGTCATATGGAAGCGGATGGCTACATATGCCCAGTGGAGTTCAATCGAAGGACCGGTCCTCCATCACCGCCAAGACAGCAGCCGCCGGTACGTGAAGTCGCGGCACACAATCGCCTCGATGAACTGGATTGGACGATAGCATCCGTCCAAGAATTCGTCGAAATGGAGCGAGCTAGGCGTGCGGAGAAGGAGCAACGTCGTCACGAACGTGAGGAAGCCCGTAGGGTTGAGGAGGAAGTGCAAGCTGCAGAAGCTGAACGCGCGCTTCGTAAAGCCGAGAAGCTCCGCAAGTGGGAGGAGGAGCAATTGGCGATGGCCAAGGCAGTTGAAGTCCAACTCTCCGTACGGCTGGGCGACATCCGTGAGGAGATTAAAACTGAGGTGCGGAAGGCGTTGACTAGTACCTTGGTGAATAGTCAAGTTAAGACGGCTGTTAACACTAAGGGTAAAGAGAAAGTCGTTGCAATCGAGGAGTTACCGTCTACATCCGGGACTTCTAGTGAAGTCGAAGCCATCACGGAGGGAGCAGGCAAGCTGTCCATTCAGGAGAAGCAGAAACGCGGGGAGGATAGCCCACCTGTGACCACTCCTGCTAAACGCTCTAGTAAACGAACTGGTATCCGCCCGGTACGCTTGTCCGAGCGCCTTCAGCGAACCCGAACGAAGATTGCGGTTCGGCGGTCAGCTCGAGGAACAGCTACCAAAGCACTTACCGCCATGAAGCCTCCGGCCAGAGATACGATGATGGAACGTTTGCTTTTCCTCGACAACACCCGGAGAGAGCTGTCCACTTTGGACTACGACATGTTGCGAATGATTTGTCGAGAGGAAGGGGTCAACTATAGTATGAAAGTGCAAGCGATTTTTGATGTCGCTGATCGACGAGCACATGTACGCTTTGGTGAACAGTTACCAGATTTCGGTGCTTTCGAGAGTGTGGAGGATGAGGCGGTGCAGTCTGGTAATGACGAGAATGATGATAAAGTACGCCACTGAAGTTGGCTAACGACCGCCCAATGGGTTGTCGTTTCTGATGTCATTGCAGCTTTTCGGAGGGAAGTTGACGATAGCCTTGATGAGATTTTTTGTCTTTTGACACTCTTGTTCGCATTGCGGGGCCGTCTTCGGCGGCCCAACAAATGTATTGACTCTTGGGTTAATCTTTTTCTGCGTGTTGGTTTGGACTTTCTTAAGCAGCCCAGTTGTGTGTACGTGGTTACTTCGACTAGATGCAAGTCACAGTATGTGGGTCAAACTTCACGGGCACCTTCAGTCAGATGGAAGGAGCACTTGTCGGTTTGCAAACGAAACAGTAAGAAATCACATCTGTATAGGTGGTGGAAATGTTTTGGCCATGAATCTTACTGTTTGCTGCCCGTTGAAATTGTTGAAACTGCCGATTTGGTCGCCGTCGAGTCAGTCTTTATCCACCAATGGAGTCCTTTCTTGAATACAACAGGGATTAGTTCGGGCTTATCTAAGAACGGACGACATGGGAAGAAGGAACGGGTTAGACTGACTAGTACAAGGGCGATCGAGCGTGATAATACACGACCCATCAGTCCGATTTGTGTACGGATCAATAGTGATGATGGATGGTCAGTGGGTATTTTTAACCTCCTTCATGAGCAGGATGATAAGGGATCGCGTTCCTTTACTCTGAGTATCGAGGGCGGCAATACCTGGTGCGACCGATGGCAGGGGATACGTAAGGCATTTGGCAGTTCTGTTGTGACTTACGAAGGAAATACGGGGTGCCTCAGTAGTTTCAAGAACGCGTTCGAGACCAAAAACGTTGGAGGGCACGTAAGAGGGTTAATAAACCATTTTTGGTTTCCATCTTATGTAACCCCAAACGTCTTAGTTTGCTTCGTAAATGGGACTTGGATTCGTTGTCTAGCCTGTTTAACACAATCAAGGATTTTGAGAAGAAGAGCACGCGTGCATACTTGAGGCGATTGATTGGGAGGGTTGTCAAAGATGGGTCTGGGTTCAACTTCTCAACTCGCATCATTGTTCGTTTGGTTTTTGACGATCGGATCAAATTGTTTGTTGTTCGTAAGTTAGTGAATGATAAGTTGGGTGGTTTGATGCTTCCACCTTGTGTAATTCGGCGTGCACGACGATCACTCCGCATCATTTGGACACAAAATCCAAGTCTTGCGGATTTGAAATTACTGTTGCGGCTTTTGCCCGATTGGATGTGTTACCCTGCGCATGCGCAGGATTGCCGTACCCAAGGGTGCGAGGTCACGTGCGTGTCCGTTTACGCGATGTGAGTAACATTCCACCACTGGTGATGAACGCCAACAACGTCCCCAAAGCCAATCATCGGGATAGGGGGTTGAAGTTGGGTCGTGAAATCACCGAGAGCTTCTCTAAGTGGGTCAATATTAAAGAACAGACAGTCTCTTGTTCCAATTTCAAGCTGGATCGTTGCATGACACCGCCTGGTTCAAGCGAGGGTTGTTGTTTTCTGGATATGAGTACGGTAACAGCGATAAAGCAGAGGTTTAGTGGTCTTGTGCTTACCCCTCTGGATAGGAATCCTGGGTGCTATGTCCATTGCTGTATTACGAGGGGATGATGGCACTGTTTGTACGGAATGTCGGTTATGTGCCGACCATGAGGACCGAGCAGATTGTACTCACGGAAATGGAGTCAGCATTGAAGGAGTCTGGGATTGGGAAGTTCGCCAGATGGACCAGGAAAGGTTCCATTGGCCATGCCTTTGCAATGCCTAAGCATAAGGACTTGGAACGATTCCGTCCTATCTGTCCGTCGTATTCCGAGCCAACGACAAGAACCAGTAAAGTTGTTGCTCGAGCCCTTAAGCATTTGTTGGATTGGCTGCCTCAGGACTGGCACTTCAATTTGAAAGCAGTGTCGTTGTTGAGGAAGTGTCTGGATGGGATCAATAGTAAACTGTCTTCCCGGAGTGTCGATCCAGGTCTGGTAGCACGATCATTCAGCATTAAAGACATGTTTAGTCTCCTGCCGCATGAGGAGATTTTGGACGCAGTGTCCTGGCTTTTGGACTTTCATGTAGGGAAAGGCAGAAGCTTCGTTCGAGTAAACCCGAGGGGAAAGGGTTCCAGCTTTGGAGTTACAACGGGCTACGATCACTGGAGAAGGGTCAATTTCGAAGATATCCGCAGATTTGTGGAATTCGAACAGTCCCACACATATACCTATGCTTTGGACATTCTGCTGCAGCAGAGGATCGGGATACCCATGGGGAAGAGTACCTCTCCCTCATTGGCATGTATCATGTGCGCTCGGGCTGAGTATCTTTTCCTCCAAAGTTTGGGAAAGCAGAACAGGGCAGTTTTCGGGGTTTGCCTAATCGACGACGTCGGTCTGTTTATTGTTGAAGGGCATCTGAAAGAGACGAAGGCGGGAGACATATTTTCAAGATTTACCAAATGCTACCCCGACAACCTGACGTTGAAAAGAACGGATAATGGATCTGGTACTTGGGATTTTTTGGGGTATGTGGTAAGGATTAGCAGCTATCGTCCTTTCATCGAGTGTGTGCAGATCTCGAAGAATGAGGAGACGCTGTGGACGGAGGAGTGTCTTACCTTCAATGGTCAATCTTACCTTTCTTGGGGAAGTAAGATTCATAAAAGCGCTGTCCTTGCCAGCCATCTACACCGTATTGATCGCAATACATCTGCTAGACACGAAATCCCGAGACGAGTTGTGTCATTAAAGAGGGAATCTAGATTGAAGGATGTCCCCTCATATTTCTTCATTCGCGTGCTCAAGCGTTTTGCTCATGGGCGGGACGCCCATTGGAAGCTGGCGGTCGATATGGTAAGCTGAGTGAACTTTGTTGTTACCAGTTGATTTTGGTCCCTGCAATATTCTGTGTTGACAGGGCCTGTGACAGGGTTTGGTGACTGTGGTTTTGGTAGATTAGCAGTTCGCTTTCGATGATTAGGCCTTTTGGAGCCCAGGCCTGTTTGGCTTTGTTTGGACTTCGGATCCGTGTAGGATCAGTCAAGGGTCTGGTTAGGGGCCCTGGTTGTTTGACCTTGGTCTTTTCACAGATTTTGCACGGTGTGAGTTAGGCCCCTCGAGCCCGGGTCGTTGTTTTGTTTTGCGTGGATATTGGCTCCTTGTCTCTGTTCTGACCTGGGGAACACCCCCCGGCCTGTAATTTTGAATTTTCGAACGTGGACAATAAGTAGGGTAGGGTTGATACCGAATGTACCTGGCCACGGGTTAACTTTCGGGGGATAGCTGCAGCTAATTTTGCTTCGACACTGCACGATTGACTGGACATTAGCGTTTAGCACCACGGTACTTAAGCAGTGTTCAGTACTGTCGTAATCCTCTTATGGTGGATGGTCCATCACGGCTTTTGCCGCGATAGACCGTGGTTATGTGGTATGATCGGCGGTTTCTTGGGTTTGTGGTTTGGAATGAAGGTTACCGAGTACTTTTCATTGTTGTGAGCTACGTGTGGCGTGCTACCTTGCTATCTTGCATAGTGTGCAATGATGAGTGTTTTCGCCTTATCTCAACATAGACCTCCGCCAAAAGTTGTTTGGTTTGCTATTCTGCACAGCATACTTTGTTTTCATTTCTTTTTTATTTTTTTTATTATTTTTTACTTTAAGTGGGATATGGGCCTGGACCCCGCTGGGCCCAATTGCCCGGTCACAGACAGCCTCCACGGCCGCGGCCGAGGGTGCTATGCTATGTGACACCCGCGGCCGCGGCCGCAGGCAAATCGGCCGCCGCGGGCGGAAAAGTCGGCCGTGGCCACAGCCAGGAGGCCTACTTTGCGGCCTGCTGTTTTGGTTTCTTTTTTGAGTAAAAAATAAGTAAAAAGAAAAAAAAGGGGTTGTAGGGTTTGCAAAACCCTATAACCCTATTTTTTTTTTTTCAATTTGACTTGATTTAAGATATCTAAAAAATGAAAAACGAAAATCAGTTAATAATAATAATATTAATAAATAAAAGAAAAGTAGGAATTTCTTTTTTCCATTTTTTTCATGACTCATATGGAGTAAGGGCTGGACCCCACAGGCCAAAATCTTGGAAAACGGGCGATGCGAGTGCTTTTCCTGGACCCCACTGGAAGAAATCGGGTTCCTGGAAAGTGTTTTTTTTTGTTGCGTTTTCCGCTTCCCGGGACCCCACAGTCTGGAAAAGTGTTCCTGGAAGATGGCACTTTGACATTTCCACATGTGGTTTCGGAAATGTGTCATTTTCCGTAGTTGACGGCACTATTTTGTGGCAAACGGACTGGGTAGGGGGGGGGGGGGCGCTGGAAAAGTCTGGAAAACTTCCTTGCACAACCCGGGTCCATGGAGTGTCCGGTAGGTGGCATCATGGGCGCCCATACCACCCCAACGGCCACACGCCGCCACCCACACCTCCCAAGTCGGACATCGTGGGCGCCCATACCACCCCAATGGACTTCGCTGGTCCACAATGACGGCAAGAGCTTGGAAAAGTCTGGAAGAAATCGCTTTTCCAGGCCTTTTCCCGCCTCTTTGGTGGGGTCCCGTCGTTTCATCCGCGGAATCTTCCAAGTGCCCTTTCCACAATTTCCAAAATAACGCACTTTTCCAAGGTTTTTCCAGTGGGGTCCAGCCCTAAGAGTCCTCCTGAAAAGGAAAGCAGGTAGTTTTTGTGTTTTCCCTTTTCTTCTTCTTCTTCTTCTTTGTGTCTGACACCTTTGCTGTCATTTTGCAGTCTTACTCATTTGGAGATTCAATAAAGTAGTCCATAGAAAAAAAAGAAAGAAAAAAAAAGTAGTCCATAGCAGCGACGCACTTTCTCGTACATCTGACACCTTTGCTGTCATTTTGCACCCTTACTCATTTGGAGATTCAATAAAGTAGTCCATAGCAGATGTGTTGCCTCGAAGCCCCATCTTCAGGTGGATCCTTAGGAATCTGCAAACAAACCCAACTCTGCCATGACTTCAGGCTTGCTGTATACCATCAGCGAGGGTGAGGAGCGTTTGTGTATCCTAATGACCGCAAAATCATGACTCATCTCATTGCACAGAGTCATGACGCTCGGTGCTTGCAGGCATTTTGGGTTTATGAAGACCTATGAAGCCCTGATCCAACAGTTCTACTAGACCTGGGAAATGATGTCCTACAATACTTAGACGTGTATGAGATGTGCC